GGAGCTCCTTGAACAGGAGGGTTGTCCTCTCTCTGTAAGGGACCCCAGTTAACATCCTGGCTGCTGATCGTTGGACCAGTTGGAACTTCTGAGCCGTCTTCAAGGGCAGCCCCACGTAGAGCGCATTGCAGTAGTCCAATCTGGAGGTGACCAAGGCATGGACCACCCCGGCCAGATCAGCCTTCACGAGGTACAGTCGCAGTTGGCGCACGAGTCTCAGTTGTGCGAAAGCCCTCCCAGACACCGCCGACGCCTGAGCCTCAAGCGTAAGCGATGAATCCAACAATTCAGCTCCAACAACCCACACAAAGGAGTTGTACTTTGGTTCCTTTATTCCCTCTGCAGCTACCCCACCCTGGCTGTAACTACACAATGTTGGCCAGGTGCTTTAGCTCATTCCCTGCTGCATTGATCCTTACATCACTCACATCACTTACTACTTGTTGCTTCAGAAATGAACTCTTAACAGGCCAAGCTAGTATACACATACACATGCACACGCACACACACACACACACACACCATATTGCCTGAGGTTCATGGACCATCTGAAAACCAGACATTTCACGAGAGTCCCAGCCTTCTTTTCCTGTTGCTGCTGCTGCCCTGAAAAAATCCAGTGGACTCGGGTTAGCATAGTGGTTGAATGCAATCAGCTCATTTTGTTTTAAATCTTTTGGTTTTCCAGGAAGGGAATAATTAATAGATAGGATGCTGTTCAGGATAACCAACTCTGCATAACCCTCAGGCCCATTGATACTGTTGATGATATTACTCATCAATTGGAATAGAAGGCAGTGCCTGTGCTGTGGGGCCTCTTGAGGGGCCATATTTATTTTTATTTACAGCATTTTTACCTCGCCCTTCTCACCCCCCCCCGGGGGGGGGGAAGGCTCAGAGCAGGTAACAAAAGCAGCAATTTGATGCCACAAATCAATAACACAGTATAAAACCATAAATACATACAGAGTTAAAACAATAGCAATTAATTATAACCAAATTATCACAAGTCATTAAAACAATACTCAATCCACAAACCCACTGATAGAACAATAAAACCATATCCTCATATATATCGTCTTGCCAATCCATTTCCAGTCAAAGTGCTGCTTTATGTTTATTGTCCGAAAGCCTGGTCCCAAAACCAAGATTTTAATTTCTTCCTGAACGCCAGAAGGGATGGGGTCGATCATATTTCATCTGGAAGTGTGTTCCACAGGTGGGGGGCTACAGCCGAGAAGGCCCTGTCTCTCATCCCCGACAGCCGTGTTTGTGATGTTGACGGGAGCGAGAGCAGGGCCTCCCCGGATGATCTTAAGTTACGAGGTGGGATGTAGAGGCAGATGCGTTCGGACAAGTAAGCTTTATAGGTCAAAACCAGCAGAAAATACTGCCATAGCTCAGATTGGGCAAAGCCTCTCTATCTTATGTGAATAGATGGACATGTGGATACCTGTTCAGTCCAAATATTATTTTAACAAGAAGTTTGTGTTTGTCCTTTTATACTTGGCTGATTTGGCCATGGAATGGAATGGAATTGGGTGAGGTGGGCTGGATGACTTTAATTTACAAAAGTAGATGTAATTGGGTTTCCATTAAAGTCTCAAAGGTGTGAAACACATTACTGAAACAAAATTCAAAAATGTTCCATGTTTTTGGTGTATGCTTTCAGTTTTTTGTGCTTTCCCAACATGTACCAGTAAAGGCATAGGAAACAGGAATAATTCAGTCTAAAATTATTTAGCTGCTTGTGCTTCCTTTATTTTATCAGTGTTATACGTATTTATTTTTGCAATGCTTTTGTCACGGAATAAATAAATAATCAGTTGGCTGTTTCTGTCTCACTCAGCTGCTCTGTCTTACTAATACTAGTCATATAGTTTAACACTGGCCTATTTTTGCTTGCTTGTTTACTTACTTCTTTGTATTCCTTCCACAGAGAGCACAACAAAAGATCAGCAGTAGCTCCACACTTGAAGCATATGATGTACTCATGTGATGGTTCAAACTGCTGGAGAAGATTACTGTCTTATGCCTGTCATTTGGAAGTGCTGTTCTGGACTTTGTATTAATGTTCCACATGTACAAATATATATAAAAAAACACCTACATGTAAAAGTGGAGCTTGTTGACTTTCCCGCTCTGCCTGGCATTACCACCATACCCCATATTTCTCCCGTTTTCACACATTTCTCCCATGATTATCTTTCCTCTCTGAAGACCTTTCTGGTGGGTGCAGGGGAGGGGGATATATCTCTAGTAGACTTTTCTCCTTGAGTACAAGAAAACTGAAAGGTAGTAGAATGCTCTTTGACTGCATTCCTGTGTTCAACTGAAGATTTGGTCAAATTGGCATCATACATTTTAGTGTTTCATATATGAAGCACTTTAAAACGGTGGGACAAGCTTCTAGAAAAATCATTCATATAATTACAGCTGAAATATGCCAGCTGGACTAATGCTTATGATACATACAGATTGTCCTTTCTACTAGGCAAAAGGGATCTAAGAATCATTGTGAGCATCATGGTGAAATATTAACAGCTTTCTAGAATCATACCATAAAAATCATACCTGTAAGACTGTAGATTTTTATAGCAATATTAAATAATCACTCACAGGCCGGTTTTGCTTGGAAATGAATATATATTGCTTGTTTCTCTGCAGCAAAGAAAGACACTACTGACTTTTTCCCACCACCACTTCCTTTTATACACCCTTCCTGCCCACCTCCCCCCTCCTCTCAGTTTCCCCATTAGAGCTTGTTGCTTCACAAGTTCCAATACAAAGTTTCCAGCACCCTCCGCTGGCTTCAAAATGTCAAAGAGAGAAAACTGAGGCAGCCAGGATGATCCAGTCAGGATGTCACGGAGGGAATTTATGATGTCTTCACGCCATCAGAAATTGACTCCTGACAATACCATAGAATCATACCATATCTTTTGCTCGATAGTTTGGCTGTTCAAGAGCATATTGGTAGGTGGGATAGACCAGGGAAGTAACATTGCTCTTAGTGACTTGCTTGTTTTACTCTTATGTCTGTTAGGCTGGGATGTGGGTTGTGTTGATTCAGATCATCTCCTATGTTTGCTTTGTCTTATATTACTCCATCTTCCTGTTGCCTCATCCTCACCTTAGGCTCTAATTATTCAGCCTAATGTTTTGGCCCTGGGATAGTTTGAGTAGAATTTATTGTTCAGTATCTCAGTTCTTTCCGTGCTTGTAAGAGGAGGCTGGGATGCCTTCCTTTGCTGTACAACACCTGTTGCTTCAATGTGTCTGCAATAAAACTTGTCTTATACCAGCGAAGGAACCAATTTATGAATCCAACTAACTCTTGGGGAGTCTTAGAAATTGAGAAATACTTCTAGCTCAGAACAACAAATTATTTACTTGTAGTATTTGAAGAGGTGGCCACATGTTGATGAACGGTGAAAAATGCAGGAAATTGAATTATATAATTATGAAGTTAGAAGGAAGCTCAAGGACGATGTAATCTAGCTTCTTCCAGTAAAGCAATGGTTCCCAACCTGTGGGTCCCCAGGTGTTTTGGTCTACAACTCCCAGAAATCCCAGCCAATTTACCAGCTGTTAGGATTTCTGGAAGTTGAAGGCTAAAACATTTGGGGACCCACAGTTTGAGAACTACTGAAGTAAAGGCATCCACAGTTAAAGTATTGTTGAGAGGTGGGTAACCAAAGACCTCCAAAGGAGGGGCACTCCATTGTTGTCAGAACCCAGAAGCCTTAAACCATGCCAGACACAGATTAAAGGTTCAAATACAGCTTTATTGCAAACAAAAAGGGGGAAAAAAGCACTTAGCTACAGTGCTAAGGTCTGCTGGAGCAATTTGGCACCAAAAACAAGTCAATAGAAGAAACAAAAATATAATCCGGATTATAGCGCTGCCTCTTAAACTAAAGATGAAGCGAATTGCTTAAAAATCAAAATGTAGCAAGAACTCAGTCTTTAAAGATGAAAAAACATTGTTTCAAAATTGAAAGTTGTTAAAGTCACAAAGATATTAGCAAACAAAGTCCAGAAGTCCAAAAGCGAAGTCAAACCAGTCCGTAGTCAATTCCGTAGAGAAGCAAAGCTGGAACATTGAAGTCACCCAGGAAACAGGAGCACAGGAACAAACGAAGCTATAGCCCAGGACCAAAGGTGGAAAGTTGGCAGGTACAAGAATTATGTCCCCAAGAAGACACTTTGCCTCCTGCAACTTGCAATTCAAACTGAACCCCCTTTTATCTTACAATTCGTCTTCAGAGCTTGATGAGCTCCCCACCCTCTCATCATCACTCCCAGCTGCTCCCAAGCCTGCAGCTAAATGCCCATCCCTCCACCTCTGCCAACGATTATCAGGATTCAGATCCTGCCAAGAGTCCCCTGGCTGCCAATCATCAGTGAACCCCTCAAATTCCTCACTAGAGGTGGGCTGGTTACAGATATCCCTTATGTTTTGCACACGGGTCCAATTTAACTCGTCTCCTCATCATCGTCCATGTCACTCCCAGTCCCAGAGCTCCTTTCAAACCCAAAGAAATCTTCATCCCCTGTTGGTGCACAAAGTATTTCCTGAATACACTTCCTTTGTAATTCCCCTTCAGACTCTAGCTCACGAGCAGCCCTCTTTACACCTCTGCTCCCTTCCCCATCCCCCATCTCCCAATCRGAGAAACCTGGGAAYGTGTCAGTATCGCTTGGAGCCATAATGATTTCTCTAATGTGCTGATGCTGCTGTTCCTCTTCTGACTCTAAAGGARACCCGTTYTCCCTGCTACTAGGARTAGCAACTCGAGCAACATGCTGAACTACAACAATTGTATTGTCAAGCAATCTGAACGTTCTTTCCAATGTTTGGGTGGAACCTCTTTTCTTATACTTTGTCTCCAGATAACAGGTTGAACGAACTATAGTYTCCTGTYTTTACTCCACTTCCTTCCGGCTTGCTCTCAGCTTCTAATGCTGTTCAAGCCTTTCAGTTTTATCTGGTTATGGCCACCTCGGTCTTTGTCACCTGGATTTTCTGTCCACATCTCTGAATGCTTTGGGTTGGCCCCTCCAGCTGGTAGTTTCCATGGTGGTGCAAAATATAAGAAGACAAAAGTTTCTGAATTTGACATTTTTATTGCACAAGCGAGACACTGCTGGATTCAAAATCTAAGCATACACAGGTATTTCATTGAAAGATTTAAAATTTATATTTGCTGGTTTTATTTATTTATTTATTTATTTGTTTATTATTCGAACTTATATGCCGCCACTCTCCTGGGGCTCGGAGCGGCTTACAAGAACAGGCTAAAATCGAACACAATTTAAAAACAATTTAAAACAATTTAAAAACAGCAATCAAAGATCAAAGCGAAGGATTTTGCACAGGTTTCTTTGAAATTCCACTTGGGACTGTTGATCCATGAAAGGCAATCTGATAGCAAAGGGAATTATTGTTCAGAGCTCAGATCCTGCAGAGACACAAAGGGAACACTATTAGCAACTCACACAGGTGGAAAATTGTTCACAATGATCTGAAAAATATTATCAGGTATGGCTCCAGTATATTCTTATTCTGGCAGTTGGTAGGCGTAAGTTTATTATCTTCAGCTCCTTACAAAATAAACATTTAGTAATGTAGTTTTGAGTGGAAAGATGGACTCAGTTTGGATTGCAACCTTACTCTGACCAAAAGGCAGGGAACACACTGATAAACTACTACTTCAATAACCTCTCACAAGGAAATCTGATAAAGGGTTCTGGAGAAATTTTACAGTTTAGGAGTGTTTTTGGAGAAAGAAAGAAAGAAAGAAAGAAAGAAGAAAGAAAAGCTAGGGAAAATTTAGATCACATAAAGAAAATGAGATGACTGGATAAAATGTGATATATGGGCAGGTGACAGAAGGAACTGGTTGCTATTTGCTTCCATGAAGAAAATCAAATCATCTAGGATGGGTGGAAATATGGCAGGGATAGACAAAGACCCTACAGATGTTGACCACAACTCCCCTTTGGTTTCCCAGATGTTTTAGATGTCAGCTTGCCCTGAAGTCAAGAATTCTGGAAACTAAAGTCCAAAACATCTGGAGGACCAACATTTAGGAGCCAGTGGCCTATATTGTCTAAGACAGGGGTCCTCAAACCTTTTAAACAGAGGGCCAGGTCACAGTCCCTCAAACTGTTGGAGGGCCGGATTATAATTTGAAAAAACATGAATGAATTCCTATGCACATTGCACATATCTTATTTGTAGTGCAAAAAAAAAAAAAAACCACTTAAAAGCAATACAATAATTAAAATGGAGAACAATTTTAACAAATATAAACTTACTAGTATTTCGATGGGAAGTGTGGGCCTGCTTTTGGCTGATGAGAAAGGATTGTTGTTATTGTTGCTGTTGTTGTGTGCTTTCAAGTCATTTCAGACTTAGGTTGACCCTTAGCAAGGGCCGGGTAAATGACCTTGGAGGGCCGTATCCGTCTCCCGGGCCTTAGTTTGAGGACACCTGGTCTAAGACTACTGGGAACTGAGCTCCAACAGCATCTGGTCTAGCTATCACGAGGAAGATGCAATCATGAGTGGTCAGGGCATCATGGTCTAGCTATCAGATTATTTGGCTGTTTAAATCTATCTATATATAAATGCTCTGTGCGTAATGAGTACCTTAAAAACAAAAGAACCAATGAACGAAATCACACCAAATTTGGCAAGAAAACGTCTCACAACACAAGGAGTGACCATCACTCAAAAAAAAGATGATTTTGTCATTTGGGAGTTGTAGTTGCTGGGATTTATAGTTAACCTACAATCAAACAGCATTCTGAACTCCATCAACAATAGAATTGAACCAAACTTGGCACACAGGACTCCCCTGAACACAGAAAACACTAGAAGGGTTTGGTGGGCATTGACCTTGAGTTTTGGAGTTGTAGTTCACCTACATCTAGAGAGCACTGTGGACTCAAACAATGATGGATTTGGACCAAACTTGACATGAATACTCAATATGCCCAAATATAAACACAGATGGAGTTTAGGGGAAATAGACCTTGACATTTGGGAGTTGTCATTACTGGGATTTATTGTTCACCTACAATCAAGGAGCATTCTGAACCCCACCAATGATGGAATTGGGCCAAACATCCCACACAGAACTCCCATGACCAACAGAAAATACTGTGTTTTCTGGTGGTCTTTGGTGATCCTTTTAACCCCCCCACCCTGGTGACCCCCCCCCCCCCCGGGTCTTCCCAGGTTGAGAAATGCTGCCTTAAGGCCATCCAGTCCAACTCCCTTCACCAGTGCAAGAAAACATAATCAAAGTCCTCCTAACAAAGGGCCATCCAGTCATTCACACACACATATATGTATATGACAGATGCAGTATCAAAGATTTGAAAGGGGCTCCTAAAGAAGGACAATGATATGTTGCATGTTCCAGAGTAGGCAAACCAGACAATCTCCACATCAACACTGGCAAAGAAACAGCAAGAAATACTGATTACCCATAAGCAGAAAGACATTACATATATTAGAAACCAACACTTTCTCATTACTTTATTTTCCAGATCACTAGACTGGGCCACAGCAACGCATGGCAGGGGACCACTAGTTATACATAAATGTTTAAAAGCAATGCATTTGTATTTGGAGTAGAACAGACAACTCCGCATCTGTATGCTTGTCCACTATGCCCTGCCTCATGTACAGAGGAAGAATTGTTGGAGGCTACAGACAATGCTGTTGCCTGTTTGTGGTCAAAAGATATTTAGCCACCTGCACTCCTTCTATTTTTATCAGTTTTTATACTAATTTATGCAATGCTTATGAAACAAAATAAATAAATAATACATAAATAAATATTTTAATTAAATTATGGAACAAAGTAATTGACTACAGTCTGAGATACAATGAAAGGTAGGAAAACCTGCCTAGGCTTTGGGGTCACAAGCACTGGATGCTATTTATTTCTGAATGGAAAAAGAATAACATTCTTACCATGGTAACCAAACCTACCCATTTCCAATGACAAGGAGCCCATAACAAAATTTGAAAAAGATTCTGTTCCTGGTTTGAAAATGTTATTCCTGTTGAATTGTGCAGTACTTATTTTGAAAGTAGTTGCTATACTCCAGAAACTTTGTTTTTGTGGCTGCCACAAACTAAATTGAATTGGTTGAGACTCGATGACATAGTCATTGAAAAACTATAGCAAAATGTGCTGCAAGTTGTCCCAGAAAAACAAAGTTTTTGCAGTTTAATAAACTTTTTTCGATGTTTGTATGATAGAACTAATTAGGACATGCTATTTATGACCCAGGAACAAAATTGTGTTACATAGTGTAATGGTTCTGGTGCAACAGTGTGCATGACATGTGTTGATACTCAGAACATACTGTATCTGCCTTCTAACTTTCGCTGGGTAAATCCTTGCAAGAATTCTTGCAAACCACCTTCTACCTGTCTCAGAAGGCACTCTCCCAGAATCCCAGAATGGCTTCCGCCCCGCCAGGAACAGTGGACATGATCTTCACTGCATGACAGCTCCAAGTAAAATGCAGGGAACAAAATCAACCTCTGTACATGGCATTCATTGACCTGGCAAAGCCATTTGACACAGTGAATCACAGTCCTATCTGGACCATCCTCCAAAAAATCAGATGCCCAAACAAATTTGTGAACATCCTGTGGCTCCTTCATGATGACATGATGGCAACAGTCTTGGTCAGCAGTGGCTCCCAAAGTGACCCATTTAAGGCAGAATCAGGTGTCAAACAGGGATGTGTTATTGCCCAACCTTATTTGTCATCTTCATCTCTATGATACTTCATCTTGTTGATGTGAATCTTCCCACCTGAGTGGAAATTATCTATCGGACAGATGGCAAGGTATTTAACCTCAGCAGACTGAAAGCCAAAACCAAGGTTACAACAACATCTGTTATAGATCTCCAATATGCTGATGATAACGTAGTCTGTGCGCATCCAGAAGAAGACCTACAAGCCACTCTAAACACCTTTGCAGAAGCATACGAGAAGCTTGGCCTCTCATTGTACATCGAGAAAACCAAAGTGCTGTTCCAGCAGTCACCAGCCAATCCCTTTCCAATGCCAGAGATACAGCTTAATGGTGTAACATTAGAAAATGTTGACCATTTCCACTGCCTTGGCAGCCACCTCTCCACAAAAGTCAACATTGACACTGAAATACAACACCACATGAGCTCTTTGAGTTTAGCATTTTTCTGAATAAAGCAGAGAGTGTTTGAGGACCGGGGCACCCATAGGAAGACCAAGGTGTTTGTTTATAAAGCCATTGTCCTCCCAACCCTGCTATACGCCTGCAAAACATGGACTGTCTACAGATGTCACACGCAACTCCTGGAATGATTCCATCAGCGTTGCCTCTGAAAAATCCTGCAAATCTCTTGGGAAGACAGGCAGACAAATGTCAGCATGCTGGAAGAAGCAAAGACCACCAGCACTAAAGCGATGCACCTCTACCATCAACTCTGCTGGGAGGTGATGATCAGGCATGTTGTCTGAATGCCTGTTCACCACCTCCCAAAGCTACTATACTCCCAACTCAACATTGGCGACAGGAAAAGAGATTTAAAGATGGGCTTATAGCYAACCTTAAAAACTGTGGCATAGACACCGAGAACTGGGAAGCCCTAGACCTTGAKCGCTTTAACTGGAGGTTGGCTGTAGCCAGCAGTGCTGCAGAATTTGAAGAGGTACAAATGGAGAGTGAAAGGGAGAAATGTGCTAAGAGGAAGGCGTGTCAAACCAACCCTGACTGGGACCGCCTTCCACCTGGAAACCGATGTCCTCACTGTGGGAGAACATGTGGATCAAGAACAACCACCKACGGACCCACCGCCAAGATGCTGCACTTGGAGGACCATCATCCTTGAGCTAGGAGGGATCACCTAAGTAAGTAAACTGTCCTTGCAGAAGACCATTCAGTACCCAGTACAACCCCAGGCACTATTGTGGTAAGGTATTTCAAAAGATAACTCTTCCCCTGCCCCCAATATTAGATTTAGTTGCTGCCTTTTAAAAAAGAAGCACTTACCTCAAGAATTGAGGAAAGTTTTTTGGAATAATCACTAATGGGAGATAAGAAATGCCTCGTAAATGGCAAATGCCAATAAACTTCACTTGTCCTTTGAGGAACCACAAATGTTCTCCAACAGTTGCAATAATCTGGATAAATAAAAGTAAGTATGAATGTGTTAGAAGTTACTCAACATCACAACAGAGGCTGATAGAGTGTTTCTAATTTTGTCAGATTGATAAAGCAAGAAGGATCAAATTGAGCCTTATTCAAGACCCCAAATAATTGGAAATTAGGATCCTATATTATGTTGGTGGAATCAAAGTCTGCAAGGCAGGGTACTTACAGATGGTAGAAAAAGCTACTGGTGGGCAAGAGCTGACTGGCTCCAAGGATGAACCCAGGTCCTTTGGGCTGTCCTTGAGCACCAATGGAAGAAGCAGTAGCTTTCAAATACCCGCATAAGGCTTATTTTACAGCTGGACCAAATTCAGGTATACACCTATAGCCAATCGGGGGTTAGAGAAACACAGCTGTTGTGTACAAAACACAAGGTGACACTATTAGTGTGTGCACCCAGCTACAAGAACAAGGTTGGATGCTTCTCTGCACCCCACACTTCACTGGCCATTGGCAGTAGAGGGATTGCCGTAGCTAAAAGGTGGGTTGGAAGGGTGTACATAAGGAAACATGACGTAGTTCTTCATAACAGAACGTTATGGTATCTTTTCCTGATCCAGAATATAAACACACAGCTCTTTTAGAAATGGAAGTATCAACTAATCCACTTGGCATGGAATATGTGTTCTAAGGGAAAGATGGGACACTGGGCACTTTGAACGTTGTTGTTGGCAGTCTGTGGGGTGGGAAAGACCAAAGATTTAGAATTAAGAGAAGATGGAAATCAAAAGGCTTGCATAACGTGAGGCATTGCCGATGAAAACCTGTGGAAGAATTGTTAGGACCACCGGAATAAAACGGGATTGGAATTTGCACTATTGTTCATAAAGGAGTAGAACTAGATCTGTCTTAATTATTTTTAGAAAGCATTCCAAATGAACATTGGGTTAAAATGGGTGGCATGTGCTGATTTTAGGCCAGGTCACCCACGGCACCAGCTGGCTCCTATCACATGATGCGGTGTCAGCTCTGTGGGTAGAGGGTGAGCTGGCGCAAGCTGCCAGCAGGGCAAGCAATATGGGTGAGCTCCCATGTTACCATCAAGTCTATGGGGGAAGCCATGCACATCATGCGTGCTCACACTTGCCCCATGTGATTGCCCTCCCTTAGAGCTGGCTGATGCGAGGCATGGGGTGCCGGATACCCCACAGCGAAGTGGAGCTCTACAGCCACCACCTGCTGGCCACTGCAGATATGAGAATAATAGAATCATAGGATTATAGAATCAAAGAGCTGGAAGAGACCTCATGGGCCATCCAGTCCAACCCCCTGCCAAGAAGCAGGAATATT